TTTCAAGCCTTTTGGATGATTATTAGCATTAAAGAGTAGGGCTACAAGGAGGAAACACAGGAAAAAAAGCAATACATGTATTTGATTGTCCAGGGAAAAAGCACATTATTTGCATTCCCCGGTTAGAACTTGTGCTAAAAAAAGGAAGCGCATTTGTAATCTCCATGAACAATTCTGCTTCATGAACCAAAAAGTTCACCCTCATCTCAGCTCTAGCTGCTTCTGATTTTTTAGGGAGTAAAAACTTAATATACAATATTTTTATTTTTTTTTATAATGTATGTTTATAAATTTTCTAATTTAACTAATTTCATGATTACATATAAACTATTAAAATTATTTGCACTAAGATGATATTGTAAAAATTCCAAACCTTTATTCATATCACTTCTTAACAAAATAATAATATTTTCTGAACTAAATAAATAGTATTTTCCGAGAAAAAGAGGCTAATAGTTTCCTGGATTTGAAGCCCAAAAATGCGCATGATTAGCGCTGAAAAAGAAAGTACACTTAATGAGCTAACGGGCTAGTGCCGTTACAATAACGACCAAAAGAATGGGTATATTAAATGGGCTCAAACATTGAGTTACTCTATTTAGTATTTACATAGAAGATGGAAATTGGGCTTCTAGGTAGGACTGAAAAAACGAAATGGATCTATTGAGTTTCGGCCCACAAATACAGGTGGAAGGCTGGAAGCTGATGGTAGTTTTAAGCATTGAAGCCCATTCGCCGTTCCAGAATGTTGCTGACCGGTGCCGACGGTGGGCAAATCTTTTCAATGTTCAAACTAGGGGTGGGCAAAAACCGGTTTTGGTTAAAACCGAAACCGGTTTTAAAATAACAAAAAAAATTTTCTTTCAATTTTGAGAATTGAAATCGAATCGAAATTTTCACAAATCCATCAGTTTGGTTATCAAGAAAATTGGTTCGATTTTGGCTTTTAATAAATAAATATTAATCAATTATTTTTCTATTAATGGATTATATTTTATCACATAATTTATCATAATTTGTCATATTTATTCTAATTTTGGTTTTTAGATGCTTATTTTCAGTTTTTAATTTTTAAAAAATTCAATCAAAATCAAATCAAAGTTTATTCGGTTAATATCAAAACCAAAAAAAAAAAACCAAAAACTATTAAAACCAAACCAAATTCATTTTTTTTATTCAATTTTCAAGTAACCTATCGGTTCAGTTTCAAATATCCAACCCTAGTTCAAACCATGTGTGAGCATTTTTCTTAGCACGGCGAGATGGCAAAATCTAATCCGATCCATTAACTTGATCTCAATTCAACTTATAAAAAGTAGATTAAGATCAATTATTATTGGACCTTTGACGTATTTGGATCAACTCGAACACATCACAGGTTATACACGAGTCAATTTATGAGTTCACGTGTTAACCTGATTGATCCATTTGCTTTTAAAATTCTTTAAAATGTTTTTTATTTGATATTTTTTTAAGGAAAAATAATTAACAAATATATTTTTAAAGAAATGTAATATGATATTAGAATTTAGAAAACTACATTATGATACACCATTTTCCAATAAAGTAGGTAAAAAAATATATTCATAATGAGTCTAATTAATATATTTTGTAATAATAAATATATTTATGTAATGCATTTTAAAATAAATAATTTAGATGAATATATAGTTTTTGTTTTTAAGTTTTTTTTGTTCGGTTAAAAGATAGATTTTAAGTTGCATTATTTTTTTTTTACAGCTGATACCAATTCTTAATTTATGATAGCAATTCTTATTTATTAAAGAAATAACTTATATTATATTGTGTCATATTAATGATGGATTTATGTAAGTGTTGGAGGGTCATTTGTACTCTAAATAATAATAATTTGTTTTGAAAAAAATAAACACAAATATGATAATTGAGATTTAAAAATATACTTCATAATATTTAGTTTAAAATTATTATCATTTAATTTTGATAAATCAATCTAAAAATGTGACTAATTAAGATTTTATACAAGTTATTATTATTCCATATGTTATATATTTAGTTTAGAATTTGTTATTTATACGAATTACTATTGTTATTGTGTCATTTCTTTGGCTTACAAGTCTTAGTCTTACTTTACTTCTATTTTTGTTTTTGTATTTTATTGTTTTTACTTTTAAAAATTATT